AGGAAATAATCTGACATTCTTTGTTCCCTTTAGGAAGCATAGAATTAAACAAATAGTCACAGTGGATACTCTCATGGATGAAAAGCAGTGTTATAAATAACATACTTCTCCACAGATGCCATGTTAACTGTCTTTACATTAAAAAGTCAGGAATAAGGCCAAGAAAACAATAGTTAAAATAATTAGATCTTTATGAAATATGATGTCTTTTAACTAGATCATTTCCAGTCTTTCCTAATACATAGACACAAAAAAGATTGGTTAGTCAATACAAAGCAGAAAGTAAAAATATTTTAGAACAAAATAAAGCAGAGCTTTTCTTCTAGCTGAAATATATTTTGCAGATTCACTCACATTTTAAAAATATATAATAATTCAATGCAGCAACATGATATATACTCTAAATACATTTATATGAATATGATTTTTTCACTTGTTCAGGAGTGAACCATGAGTAAAATGTTGCTATTTCATTTCAATAGTATAACAAAAATTTTATTCTACTGAAATGTTTATTTCTATGGAATAAAAAAAGAGAGAGAGAGAGAGAAAATTGGTTTTATTCCAGTTCCTAGAAGGTGAGATATTGCATTGCAATTTTATATTTGGCATGGACTAGCGTATTTGTTGGCACCAAGTAAGAGTTTAATGAGGCTTAAGAGAGTCCTAGGGTCTCATTAAGTAGGGGCTAATGTTGTGAAGCCTGCTGCTAGGTGTACACAAGGTCTGTTGCTTGTGGACCCAAAACCTCATGAAGGAATAAAAGAAAACAGCATAGTTCTGCTGACTTCCAAATCTCCAAGGCTACATAAAACCCATGCCAGTCTGGGCAGCAGAGGTTCCCCATGTAAACAAACCTCTGAGACTGTCCCTATACCAGCAGGAAAGAGGAGGAAAACATACTAAATTTCTTGTACTTTACCATAAGGGTGTATAAATTAAAAGTTTGACAGAGCAGCTGAGATGATTAACTCAAAGAAGCCCTTCTAAACTGGAAATGCAGTGCTGTTATGGTGTGGAGAAGTCTGCTCTCTTCCATGTTTCACCTGTCTGTGAATGAATTTGGTGCTTTGAGTGTGGGCAGGGGAAGCTTGCGTGCCTGGACTGTAGCTTACCAAACTGTGAACTGAAAAGATATTTATTCCTTGTCTTGCAATTTTCAGTCATGAGTTCTTACAGAACGCTGTGAGTAGGAATAATCGTATTTTGGAGAGGTCTTGATAAAATTTGTGTTAGTTTCTCTATCCTGAGTATCAAAAACCTGTATTAATATAAGTTTTATTCTGTGAAGCACTCTTAAATTAGGATCATATTTTACAGATTAGGGGTTACTTTATCCCTTACATTAGAAGAGTCAGGCTGTTTTTTCAGCAGTCTGACATCAGTTATTGTAATTTAAGGGTGATGAAAGGATAGTGTTGAGTGATGATATGAGACATTCAGAGGACTATCTGATAAATGGATCTAGCTCATATACAAATATATATAGATAGATAGATAGATAGATAGATAGATAGATAGATTGCACAGTTCAAGTATAACAGGCCATGTGTGCTAGTGGGAGAGTAATCTCCATATTCCTTGATTTCCGTTTTAATGTATTTAGTTTGTTTTGTTCTGGCCAACACAGTAAGTTTGAGTGTTGCCAAAATGTTTTCTTGGTTTCAGTAATAGAGATACTACTACTTTTGTTTCTCTTGTGAAAGTGTAACGTTTTTTCTATAATATCTTCTTTGACTTTTATGTGGTGGGTTGCAAGGATAATTAAAGAGTAAGTGCTTGCCTGTCTAATTGTTAGTAAGCTGTACACTGTGCACACAGAGAACTCTCAAGCATTGGAATCTCCCAAAATGTGTAGCTGAAAAATAATAGTAGTTCTGTGGAGAGAGTTCTTTGAAGCTTGTGAGGTTTTTTTTGCTGTTGTTGTTTGTTTGTTTGTTTTTGTTAAAAGGGAAGATAGCTACATAATCTGTCCTTTAAAATGAGATTTCTAACATTAGGAATCAAATTTGTATCAGTTTTATCTGTGGAAAGCAAAAACTAAATTCACTGGCCTACAGAAAAAGGTTGAACAAAGGTTATTCTTGTATCATTAAGGAAGAGTTATTTACATATGGGCTACATTACAATCTTTACTTTGATTGGCAAGCAAAACTATTAACATTCACAGAGTGTTAAGTGGCTTAACTGTCTGCAACATCATTCTCCATGCAGGGTTTACTGCTTTGAGAATATCTGGCTAAATTCCCAAAACATGAAATAGAATTTGCCTGGAAGGCCAATAAATGTTTAGATAATTTTTTACAAAACCTTTAGGAGATGAAGAGAATGTGGAAGACTTTACAATGTCTCTCCCCCCATTGCTGTGTCCAAGTAATAGCATCCAGAATAGTAGATCTTTAAAAAAACTCAGTTTTCCTAGGTGGTAAGGTTTGTTAACGGAGAAGAGAATTTGGTCAACTATAAATTCCCTCCCCACTTTCTTGAGGATCCATAAGAGACTAATAAACTGTAAGCTTCAGCACTGAAGGAAATAAAAGTAACAAATCCATTTGAGAGTATATCTTTTAGGGCAGTGTTCTACTGCAGTCTCGGGCTTTCCTTCCTTCATATGGATGGCTTTGCATTTCCATAGGCTTGTGGCATGCATAAAGTATTCTCCTAGTCATCAGCTTGGCTGAGGCAGATTCCCCTTTACGTCCCATACGAAGGATAATATCACTGCAAAGCAATTAAAACCATCCAGTCGATTTCCATAAATGAGAATCATGAAACATCAAATATCTATTTATGTCTGGGTTTAAAACAATTATCTCAATCTTAATAATCTATTAATAATCTATTAAGATGTCAATCACAGGGTTACTGTTTATTCTGAAGCTCGAACGAGGGGCATTGCAGTGTGTTTGACATGCCCACGTTTGTGCAGCATTATCTGGGAAACTGCTGCCCCCACCACCATCTATCTGTGCCTTTCTGCTATATCAAATTCACATCTATGGGAAGATTCGGTTTCACCTTACAGCTGCCAAATCTTACAGTAAAATCCAAAGGGATGCCAGGAAAAGGGATGAGAGCAAGAATCTCAGGCTTGTTATGAAAGGTCAATCCGAAAATTTCAGAGATATCAAAGGGACTGCACTATACTGTTGATTCTCCAGGTGCATCTGGGGAAGCAGATACAAATCCCAGCCTCAAAACTTTTGAGGATTTTTAAGATGGAGTAAAACAACCAGTTCCTCAAAGATGTAAAAACAAGTTGTAAAATTTGCATACAATGTGGTCAGTTTTCATATACATTTAATGACTACTGCTTCAAATTACACTTTTAGATACAAACACTAAATCTTGATTGTTAGTTTATCTTTTGTTGAAAAATATGAAATAGAATATTTTTAATTTTAAAATGAATTCATGTGAGCAACACAGCAACTGAAAATTTTCAGAAGTTTAAGTGAATGGAAACATGATTTAAAAGAAGATATTTTTCATCTTTCTACAAAATTATTTGACAGTTGTGGTAAAAAGTGTATCAATTCAAATCATATTTTGTTAACTGTTCTTTCAGTCATTAGATCAGTAGTAGACAAAAGTCTCAAGACTGCAGCCTTTGGCTGTATGTAGTCTACAGCTGATCAGAATTTGTTTATCAAGTAATTTTCAAATATGAAAATATGCTTCCAGATAAATAAAAGTTCATATAAAATTCATGCTTTCTGCAGAAAAAAATCTTTTTCTTTCTTGTTAATGAAGCAAAAACCTGGAAATGATACTGTTTGGAGAGGTTTCTCTGTTTTTCTAATCCCTATAAATCTAGTCATCTGAAAGACTTAGATAATCAAGTTTAAATTAATCATTTATCTTTTATATGTATTTAATGAGCAAAAACTTAGTTTTTAACAAAAGCTGGTTTTAGCGACAGTGATAAGCCACATTGTCCCAGGCACTCAGCTTTACAAAAAGGCTGTGGACTACATTCCATATTTATGAATAAAGCATTTCATTTTCAGATGTATAATGTACTTGCCACTCTTTTAAAGTCACAGGAAACAAAATCCAATAATGCTCAGGTGGCAGGAAAGCTTAATTATAAGTTAAATATTTGAATAAGGAAAATGGTTATTGAAGTTTGGTTTTTCATTCTCAACTGTTGAGAAATATCCGTTCTGTAATTACTAAGGAGAAAAATAATCTGAATGGAGGCCAATATATATTGGCCAAGCAAAGATAGGAAGGCTGATCTTTCTCAAGGGCAGCAACTAATTCTTACATTGCAAATGCTTGTACTGTTGCAGTAACAGGCCTGATCCTGCACTACTGAGATCAAAGGATGATTTTCACTTCATTTCATTGAAGAAACTTTCATGTGGGGAAAAAAAAGTTAAATCTCCAGTTCTGATGGATTGGTTCAGGTGCCATAAACAAACAACCGAATAAGTGGACCCATTTAGGCTTGGTTTAATGCATTTTCCCCTTTTTTAAAATAAACCATCTATGGTGATGAAGGAAAAGAAAAGCTGCAAATTATTGAGATCTATTCTTGGTGAGCCAGGCAGAAAAGCCAAGAGCTTTTCTGCTATGAAATACAAATAAATTGTGCTCAGGTAGTTTTGACTGATCTTGTGGTCTAAGGCTGTCACAGATTTTAAAATATATTGAATCCATTCATTAAGTTAATGCATGATCTGCCTTAAAAGCCAAAGTTGTAAATAATTATGTCTGTTAAAACAGGAATTCATTATCTGAATGAAGAAAATAATCACAGATTTTTATGGGATATGCCTAGTTACTTAATCTACAAGAACAATGCATTCTAATTGGGAGATGAACATTTGTTTTTACTCAATCATTGACTTATAACCAAGTGTTTGATAAGCCCTTTTGTTTTCTTATTGGCCATGCCTGTGTTCAGAGAATTCTTTGTTTAAAATGATATGCATTCATGAAGCTAAGAAAGGCAACTGAACCTCTTTACTAACTTGTCGTCTTTACTATTACAGAGCTGCAAGAAACTAAGACCTCTGAATATTACAGAATATCCCACAATCCCCTGGATTACAGGATATTATTTATGGATGAAGATCAGGACAGGATCTATGTGGGCAGCAAAGATCATATTTTGTCTTTGAATATTAATAATATAAGCCAGGACCCTCTCAGTGTAAGTTGAGCATTTATTTTGAGAATCCAAAATCTCTTTACTGCATACCATTCTTTTTTAAGAGGAACAATTTGTATTTCATTAGTTTGCAGCCAGCAGTAGCCCAGGCCCACACCTTGTCGAACTGTTAGTACTTGTTTTATGTGTAATACAAGATGAAGGAAACATTAGCATGTCTGTGCCTCAGACAGTGCTTTTGACCAGTTTACTTGTTTCAAAGTGACATTTAGCATGGTTTGGCCTCAGAAGCAAAATTCATGTGATTTGATGGAGCTGAAATTTTTCCAGTCTTCTTGTCACTTTATGATAATTTAGAAATGCACTTTGAAAAGAGGTCTATTATCCAGAAGAACATATAGCTAAATGCTCTCTTTTTCAGGCCGCAAGGGAAAAATAACCAGATAGAGCTAACGTGAACCTCCAAGCGTATTTATTTTTGCTTGGAAGCCTAATCTCTGAGCTGTTTTTCAACCTTTGTTATGTCTGTGTCAGCCCTTGCCCTTCATCTGGATAGCTGAGACTTCTCTATTTTGCATTTTTAGACACTATGACCCTAATCTCACTCTTGCTGCTGTCCCATATTTGGGCTCCTTCTGTAAATTCCTGAGATGCTGTTTTCTAAGGACACTGTATGTCCTTAGACTCTGTAGCAGGCAACCTGCATACGAAAAGAATGAATCTATCACACATTTTTAAAAAGTCCACCGATTTCTCTCTAATTCTTGAATTTCCAGATGAAATTCAAATCCAGCTTCTCTGTTTTTAAAGTAATTCAACTGAAGAAGTATTCATGTGCCCAGAAGCCTGACTGTTAAGATATTACCATCTGACAGGCCATGCCTAGCCTTTAGACTATCTTTAGACTATCAGAGCTACAATACCTTCAAAAGTGCAGCTAGGCGTTGTTTTGCTAAATTCGTTGTATCCTTTGGTCTGTGGGCTTTACTGCTGTGCCTCAGGAGCAGAGGGACAGAGACACACAGAACTCACCCACCACTGGAGAGTGAGTAGGAGCACTTAAATTAGGCTTTGCTTGGTTTCACCCTCTGGACATGGCTGTCCACCTGAATTGATAGCCGTTGGAGTCTAGGGAGACCACCTCTCTGCCATATGCATTTGATGATGTGAACATGTCCTGCTTCCTCCTAACATTACAGTAATCTCCATCTTGTAACAGAGCCACCTTCTTTGATCTGAAATAGCTTATCTGACCTTTTTGATAGTTCACATCTCATCAGTGATTCTGCTACCTTTATCTGGAAACGTGTAGAGTTCCCACTCTGTCCATTTCAGCCCTCTCATAATACGTTGCTTTTAATTCTGTAAGGAGTTCAGTTTCATAGATTTGCATCTTTTGTACAAAGTATATTCTGCAGTATAAAGCTGTAAGGAATTTAATGATCCATTCAGACACAGAAGAAAAAAAAAAGGAGAAGAAAAACCATCAATCAAAAGCAAAAGCCCAAAGTTTTCTTTTTGCAAAATATTTTCAGGCTCCACCACTTACTACATTTCTAGGGATTAGTTTCTAATAGATGTCCTTTGTATTCCAAAATCAAAATAAATAATGGAAGAAGCTCAAAAACTTCCGTGTGAGTAAGTAGAGTTCGGCTAAACATCCAGAGATGGAGGTACTTTTTTAAAAGTTGTCTGCAGTGCAAAGTTAACTAAATTCATCTGGAAATCTTAATATTTTAAGCAGATTTGCACTTACGCACTATTCATTGAGAACAGTGTCTAGAAGTTGAGTAAAAGTAAAGAAGATGAACAATAGCTAAGATGATGAAGATTAAAATCTGTGTCATGTACAAGCAATGAGAACGTTAAAAGCTTTTATTCAAGTTCGGTTTTACCAAGTTAGTTCAGTTTTCAGTTTTATATACTAAATAAATTGATTAACGTACCTCTAAAAGGTGTAATAGTATTTGGGCCAAATAGCATAAATCAGAGTCTTTACTAACTTTAAAAAAGTTATCAGCCAAGGACCTGCTGCACTATTCTATTGCATTCTAAGATAGAGAGTTGTTTTCATTTATGAATGAAAGTATTTTTTCCCTAGAATGAAAATGCAAAAGCTATCAAAATGCTAACTTCTTGTTATAAACTATGTAATGCAATAGTCACTGCACTTTCTTTTATTAAAAATAAATTAATCAATAATAAGTTACTTAAAATTTGCTTCTTTGCTCACAGATTTTCTGGCCAGCATCAGCAAACAAGGTTGAAGAGTGCAAAATGGCTGGCAAAGATCCCACGGTAAGTTATAATACACGCACGCGCATGCACCTACACACACAAATTACGTACTTTGCAATAAAGCAAGAGCACCATGAGTGCAGCCAAAAGCAAATGAGAGAGGTGTTTGTTTTGCCTTTTTAAATATTCTGCAGGCCAAACGAGAAAGTGAATTTATGAAAATTCATGCTATGTAAACACAATGCACCTTCAGACTTTGACAAATGGAAAAAAACTTCCTTACCTTACATTTCTTTTTTGTAACTAGTAGATTTGGAAGATAATGGTATTTGAAGCATGTTCTGGAGATGGTGCTGAATAATTTAAAGTTAAGTATCCATATATGTGCTGTCTGTCTGTCCCTACAGATGGGATCTTAACAGATGGATAGTACCTGTCTGCATTGTGATAGCACGTAGCACTTATCGCAGAAAAATGCCAACACGTCTTTTTATTAATTCTGTAAAGCAATATCCATATACGTATCTGGAAACCACTATGTTTCCGAGAGAAAGGTAAAGATGGTCTCTGAAATGGTGGAAACTGGCAACCCCAGAGAGGTTATATTGAGCTGTCTTGCACCAAAGCCTAGAGCTATAAGTAAACATCTTCCAAGGCTCCTACATCAGATGATAATTTTTCAAAGTTCTCTCTATAGACAGTAGATAGAAATGAGCAATCTAGAAAACCCAGCAGAATATGATCTGGTGGTACAATATACCAGATATTGTATTTGGTAGAATTGTGTATGAACATTGTTTCCTTCCTAAAGTGGTTTGGTCTTACAGCCTGCATATACATAAATTTTCCTCACAAGACAAAGTGAAATTGTAAGGAAATGCAGAAAGCTGTTTTTTTTCATTCTCTTCAGTTGTCTTTTGACTGTTTACCATTAGAGCAGTGTCTAATAGAATTTAGCATAATTTTATTTCTAGCTCTTTTGTTTCTAGCTCTAGTTCTTTAGAGATAACCATTTTAAAGGGGATATATAAGTGAGAAAGCACTTTGGCATATATGTTACTTATATGCTGAAGGTGTCCTTTTATTTTTTTCAGTCCTTTTTTTTTGCCCTTTCCACAACCGTAATGTGGATGGATAATACTGCTGACAAAAGCCAGATTTCAATAGCAAACTAGTGCTAAAGCCACTTCTGAGCCAAACTAACATGTCTGTATATGAGAGAATGGAAAAGATTAGGAACAACCCTCAGCTTTAGAGAGACGATGTATTTTGATTGGGTAAAAAGGTTTTGCTGATACAGCGTGAGCAAACATGTTACTGGTGATGCACAGTGTTCCCTCTAGGGAAATTCTTTCTATGAACACCAAATAGCTTACAATCATACACCAGATTCTGGTGTCCTAGTAGAGTACCAACTCTTGCTGAGCTGAAAATGTGAATGCCTTCAAAGGAAAATGAACTCTTCTTTGGTCAACATGTATTAATTCAATTGATTTTTCCCTGAAAATTTCTGATGACACACATGAAGATAGATCGGGGATCTCAGAAAAACATTCAGAAAAAAAAATTCTGTATTTTTAACCTAAAGTACATTAACAGCTCATCATGGTCAGAAAAACATGAACAAGAAAAGAAAGGGGTATAAAACATGGTAAATTGTTAGTGCATGTGACTAATGCGCTGTTTCAATTCTCATAACTACTTGGAGATGTTACTATTGATCTTCAAGATCAGTGCCAAGGTGAGGCAACAATGAATTGTGAATTTGCTCATGTAACACGCTGTTCAGAGTTTTAATATTTTGGAAATTATCTCTTTGCATAAATATGGGATCTGAGATTTGGGTTTGCTTTGGTTTTTAATTATTATCTCCAGCTATGATGAAATAAAATAGGAGGAAAGAGAGACTGTCTTAAAGAATCTTCCTTAGGTAGCTTCTTGTTTTCCTGCAGAGGTTCTATTTCTTCCTGACATTCAAGGTCTGTGGATGGAAATCAGATTATAGTGTGATTATGAGAAAGTTATATTTACCCCTCTGTAGCTCTTCTCTAGTGCCCTATCCATGCCCCATTCCCAGACTACACAAAATGGCAAGGAAAGAAAACAGAAGTCTGCAGCTGTTGAAATCCAGTGACTGCCAAACTCAGTAACTGTTTTCCTACTTCATCTTTCTTTGTTACACAGAAAGCAAAGGGCTCACCAGCCCTCTACCCATCCTCCAGATCCTTCAAAAATATCATGCCATAAAGCAAGTTGGCTGAAGGCCTTGAGTGGAGGTCAATCCTTTAGCTTTATAGAGAGCATAAAAAAGGCAGAGGAAGTAAATTCATATTAATGTGACTAGTTACAATAAGTTGTATTGTAAAACACATTTTTACAAGGACACTATTAAAATTTTAGGACACTATTAAAATTACCACCTGTTTTGATTCCCTGGAGTTCCCAATATCTAATAACGTTTGCCAATGTGAAGTTGTATTGTCTCTATTCCCTGCAGCACGGCTGTGGAAATTTTGTGCGTGTGATACAGTCCTACAACCGCACGCACCTGTACGTTTGCGGTAGTGGAGCGTTCAGCCCCGTGTGTGTATATGTCAACAGAGGACGCAGGTCTGAGGTGGGTCCCTTCTTGTTTTATCCCCTCCTTGTCTTGTTGGTCTTTTTAGTGTTATGCAAATTCTGATACTGCACAAATCTATGATCAAATAGAAAAAAAACAAAGATCCATGTTCTTCTAATGATCCTGTTGCCAGCAAGATATAAAGCCATGCTCAGAAACTATGCTCAGATATGACACTAATCTGAAAATTGAATAGTCATTTAAAATATTGAGGTATTTTCAATAAGAACACTTATTTTATCTGTTTTTTTTTTCTGAATTTTGAAATTTCTGAAGAAATCCTTGTAAAGAAAGTGCTAGTTACATAAAAGGCAAATTAGGCAGTTTGCCAGCTTCTTATACTACCATGAATTACCTACTGATTCCTGGAAGAAGCACTTAAGTTGATTAACTATTCAGCTATATGACTGTTTGCTGGACTTACTTACTTAGTTTAATGTCACTTAGGTACAACCCTACTACAGGTCCTATTCCCAGTGAATTTTCATCTCCAGCAGAAGTTCTGCCCCAGTAGATTCTGCCAGGATGAAGTTAGCAAGGTTTCTCCTCACTGTAAGGTCCTCAAGGGTGTAAATCTCATTTTCTCTAAATAGGTCTACAATTTTTCTGTATTCAGTTTCACTGTGTATTTTAAATATACAAAGTACCAGATGTTTCATAAATACATTGTCCAGATTTCATGCTTTGAAAGTGAAATGTTTGTTTATGTGCAAATGTAATAGGTAATAAATTAAGCAAGCAGAAGGAGAAAGAAAAGCATTTATCTGTGATCCAGCACCTCAGTAGCTTTTGGGTCAGATTCATATCCGCAGGCACAGGGGTGTGATGTATATTTTCCTGTGCAATGTGGAAGCAGATGTGTTAGAAAGCAAGATCAGAGGCTGCAACCTGGACTTTTGCCATGAGAGGGCAACTTTAAAAGCTGGGCTTGCTTCTAGGCGAGACAGTGGGAAATTCATCACTGGTTTCATTGGGAGTATGACAGGAATTCTGGCCAAGACCCAGGCCTACTGCAGAGGCTGCCAGGGAGGCAATAAATCAACCCACCTTCTCCAGGTAGCTTTGCACAGGATGATCTCAGCTGCTTTTGGTAGATCGTTATCTGGCTCCAGCCTCCTTGACAGAGGATGTAGTCTGAATCACTGCACCTTCACTCCTAATGAATTATCCAGAAGCAGAGGTTCATTGGCCTGGATTTAAAAAGCACAAGCAAGCAGAATTGCTGGAATAAATCCATCCCTCTGCTTTGCATAATCTTCATTATCTTATTTTGCTTATACTGTGAAACAGAGGTCTGTTTTCTTCAGTTAGCAACTCATTACCCAAATTTATTTATTGAAAATATATTTGAAACATATGAAGTGATCTCATTTGTTTCTAATACATGCAATACCCTTTTGTAAGCTTAAGCAGTAGTATCATAATCCAGAAAACTTTTGACTCTCTTGATATTTGGCTTGCTGTGCATGAGATTTCTACTGGAGAAAATAATAACAATAAAAGACATGAGACTTCCAGATGATGCAAGATGTTAAATTTCTTAAGTTTAAAATAAAGAGGCATAACTTGGAAGAGCAGAATTGGCATCCCTTAGCCTGTCTGTATAGCTACATGCCTATGATCAATTGATTAAATAAACTGATGTTTCAGACGTCTGGAGTCTGTCAGACATTTGACTGTAGACATTGCGTTCTCCAAGCCATTACTGCACAGGCCAACAATAGCATAACGGTTTAAAATCAAGTATTTCCTTCTTGAGCCTATTGCATATATAAATGCATGCCTAATTAGTAGAAAAGGGTGAAGAACTATGTAGTATTGAAGGAAAGAGGGAAAATTCTTTCTCCTTTGCTTTTATCATTTCACCTTAAATTTTTAATATTTTTCCATGCACAGAAGTCCATTTTTGCAGGTGCAAAATTGCTGTTTTTAGAAAGAACATCTGTTTTTCTCTAGGAGCTGCAAAGCCTAACAGTAAGAGTCATATCCAGCAATCATAAGAACAAGGCCTATTTTGTTCTTTTGTCTCCAAAGTGAGTCCATCAATGACACAGAATGTTTCTCTGTTTATTAAAACATGTTTCCCTGAAGCAAATTTTGAAAAATAATTCCTGCTCTGCATACTGGATTTTTTGGTCTTTGGTAATGACTTTTTAGTCACACAAACATATTCTAAGAACAGTGCAGTTGCAAACAGAAGCAAATATAATCACTTTGTGAATTAATTACAGAGTAAATAAGTAGTTTAATATATATTAAAATGAAATATTGTCCTGGGGCCAGTTTAATAATGCAGCATTGCACATTTTGATTTGGTAAATAGTGGCAGAATATAGTAAATATAGATTAACATCAAACATCAAAACATTAACAAAACACAAGATCATAGTAGAAACTTCATAGTTAACTTTTATCATTGTTTAGTGAGTTTACTCTAAAGTGACAGATAAGATCTCGATGATTAAATCAGGCAAAACAAAAGATAGGGAAAAGAGATAAGGGATAATAGAATACAAGACTTGCAGTTGTAGTAGAGCATTACAGATCTGTAGAGTCTACAGTTTATTATCACCAGATGGCTGCTCAGTGATCTGTGTGGCATCCCGGTTCTATTGTGATTTGCATTAGCAGTGAAAGAGGATATAAGGAGTTGCTTGCTGGCTTTAGTTTAATACGTACAACATTGGTATGTACATCACAAAAGCCTTCCTTTGCATTTTTGGTCAGCTACCTTGGTCAATTGAAAGTGAGATACTTAAAGTTTTTTTGGTATCTTTGTCAACTGAAAGTGAGATACTTAAATTTTTTTTGTTTTTTTTTTTTTTCCTTCCTTTGCAATAGTGTCTTTCAACCTTTTATTAAATAGGCTAAGTTTGTAATAGGATGCTAGGAACAAGTATTTCATGTGGTGTGCAATGGAATGTGAGTAGAGGTGCTATAGATCTATATCTACTCCCATTACTGTCTGCAATGAATGACTTGGACCCAGTGGTTCCTTTTTGTTCAGCAAACCTGCCCTCTAGTATTATTGGAAACTTGGAAGTGAAGAATTGTGCCAAGATGAGGGTATAGTCTAAAGATGTTCAGACTGTCTGTATTTCAAGCTGTTGTCTAGATTGTTTATACTTTGCCAAATATATTTCCTATTTTTAAATCCCATAAAATATAAATGAAACCCCCTTACCAAGTTTCTGAAACAGTAAAAAATTTCCAAGAGATTTCTGCCTTCAAAAGAGATACTAGTAAATCATCGATCATTATACAACTAGAGCTCTGAGTTTAATCCAAAAAATGGCACTGAATAAAAGAAGTGTGATTTAGGGTTTTGGAGGCTTGATACCCCAGTAAAAAGCAAAATATTTGTACTATGACAAAACAGTTGTCATAAAAGATTTATATTTAACATTCATTCTAGTAGCTTTATTATAAATGTTTTAAACCAATATAAGTATCACCATGTATTTGGCAAATAAACAACAACTTCAGAAACACAGAATTAATCTTCACCAATGTTATTGTATTATTATCGGAACAATCAAAGCTCCAAAGTATAATGGAGCTGGAGGAAAATAAAATCTCTATTTCAATTTAGTTAATGAATAACTAGAATCATGAAAATAACTGAGTAAATGTGAGAAATTGCTTAAAAAGTTGATGCAAATCTGCATGGAAAAGATAAATTGCAGACAGTCCTGAGCTGATCACTGTTAATGCTGGAAATAGCAAAGAAGAAAAAGTGCTTTATCTGCGAAGGTTTCTAAAATGAGAAGTGACATGAACATCTACATTGCAGGAACAAATCTTCAGGATTGACTCCAAGTGTGAATCAGGGAAGGGACGCTGCTCTTTCAACCCTAATGTGAACACGGTGTCTGTTATGATCAGTAAGTAAAACCATTCTGAGATGCTGAGGTCTAACTCCTTATTATCATTCATAGTGTGGAATAGGGAGATGCCATAGATGAGCTGGGCACAGATTTTAGCCTTTGAAAAGGAGACTGTTGCATTAGTGCTGATGGGCAGAAGTTGTTTCAAAGTTAACAAGAAGCTAGGGATGGATGTGTGAACAAAATGCAGAAATTAGCCATTGAGAGAAAGAGGGAGACGAACAGAAAACAAAAGATTATTGCTTTTCCAGGATATGCATTTTTTCCCAGGGTTAGTTTCCACTTTCAGTAACCCTGTCTAGCATTTCTATTTGAACAGTTTCTGACCTTGTTCATCATGGGCAGTGCTCGTGTCTCATTTAATCATTTGTAACATGTCAGTGTAGACAGGAAAAGAAATCCTGAAGACTTAAGCTTGAATTTCATTTCTCTTGTCATCTCTGCTGTAGAGCCCACCAGCTATTACAAGCCTCTTCATTCCTCAGTTGGCTTTATACCCAACCAATTTAGCAATTTTCTTCCCTATGAAAGGCCAGAGAGTGATACAACTGGCACACCTAAAATATCCTTGTGGGTTGGTGGGAACTGTGCTCAGTGACAGGGAGATACTTTCCTTTGCAGTAACTACTGCACCTATTAGCACCTACTACTTATTACACACATAAGTGTAATTCAGTTGGAGACATAGGCTTTGTGTAACCCAAGTCATCAGCAAAAGAAAATCCCTTTATATATATATATATATGTATATTTAAACAGAAGATTAGCCTGTAGACATCCTTGAGGAGCAGCCCCCCTTTATTCAGCAGGCATACTGAGTCTACTGAGTCAGTGGTTCCCCAAGAAACTCCCCACTGGCTCACAAACGAGAACTGGGCTAAGTTGTAGCACTTTTAGATGACTAAACATTGCATTAGTTCATTAGACTTGCCCTGTCAACTCTTGTTTCCCCTGTGCTGACTCTCCACTGGTGGGAGGTTCCCTGCAGCACTCGTGCCAACGGGCAGCCAGGCAGAACAGGGGTCTGCCTGGACATCTGGGCTGCCGCCAAGCTGGGATTAGCCCTTGGCCGAGCAGCGGGTCCTCCTTGCTGCCCTTCACCTTCCCAACACTCTCACAGGCTTCTGCATCCGAAGCCTCAAGATCTGAATATGTACCTAATTCTTGCAATAGTCATGGCTGCAAAGGGAACAGCAGTGGTACAGATTTTTCACACTCCCTTTAGCAAAGAGAATTTAGTGCATGCAGAATGCCAGATATTTGACCCAGGGTTTGCAAAGAAGCAATGTGTGGTGTGTCTGTCATTTGACTGCCACTGAAATCAATGAGAATTATATTTGTGTTGCACCAGATATTCTCTTAAAAGTCTGGGTCTCATGGAGCATAAGGAAGGTATTCTACCATAAATTGATATATTCTATTATCACTATTCTTCAGACTATAAATTATAATATTTTTTGATTCCTCATTGCTGATAGTATAAAAGACAAATAATTTCTTTCACAGAGGTATGACCTGGAGGGGAATTATAATGTTAAGACTGGAAAATGCTGCCAAGATACCTCTCAGGCAATTTGTTCCCTTTGTATTTTTATCTCACCAATGATCTATGTTCAGTGTTTAGAGGTACACACTGAATAAGAAAACATTTGTTCAAATCCAGTGATTGATTTATCCATGTCTCCTCACTGCTATTCTGGTCTTATTAAGTGAATCATTATCATTAAAAAATAAAATTTACTCACTCCTTCTAGATTTCATGAAATCTTAGTACAAAGTATACTGTTCCTGAACACTAACATTTTTTTCCTGTAATAGATTTATGGCAGCTTTGTTCATCTTAGTAGACTTTACATTATCTTCCTTGATCCTTGAGTTATGTGACTGAAGAGACCTCCCTCTGTGTTGGACCCATCTTTTATGATATAATTCATCTACAAGGTTTAAATTATTCAACAGAGGTCAAATTCTTTTTAAGACTTTCCTACAGATTATGTTTTATGCTCTTTCTCAGAATTCCCTGCAACTACAAGACACAGTCACTTCAAAAACATTAAGCTTGAATGAAGTCAGCCTCAATATCCATGCTGGAACTGGGATGATTTTATAATTGACAGCATGACCTAGAAATGATGGGGACGAAAGCCCTGGTACTGAACTCTCTTGTGAGGGTTCTTCTGCAAAAGAAATTCCTTACCCTGTCTTCAGAAGATGGGAAATGCTGCTAGACTGGGTAACTCTTACACAATAAAAGAACCATTTTTAAATATAGCTGCAGTATCTCATCAATTTGGGGCATTACTAACATCCTGCATAACACACAATATGACCAGAGAATGAAACAGGAAAGCTGTTTCACTCTTCAGAGGATAAAAGCAAATTAGAACTTGGTACGATTTACCATTGTACAAAGACACTTTTGCGTCAAAGCAATAAAAAACGTGCTTTGATGAAGCTTGGCATAACTGCTGTGTAAGATGTATGCCTTTTTCCCCAACAAGGCCCTGAAGTGTTTACATAAGCAGACATACCTCATCAATTCAGTAATTCCTCTAATAACAAAGAGAAGTAAGGGAAATTAGTTGTTCTGTGGGGAAAAAAAAATGTGTAATTCAAGAATTTAACTAAAAGGAAGCAGAGCTGACAGATGTCATCTGGTACATGTTTAGCAAGTAGAGTCTTGCTTAAGGAATATCTGGTAGAATTTATATGTAATAGGATTAAGAATTACATATTATTATCATCATTACTTTAATGTATATATGTGCATAAAAAGCACTGTGAATTAGTGAGAACCACTTAGTACTAAGTATTGATCATTCTTGTCATTATATATTCAGGATGTAATTTTTTCACAGACAAGCATCAAATACACTGTTTAGTGTGACACTTTATATTTTTCACCCCAAGAGAAGGTGTTCCTCTGGGTATGATTGCGCTCTTCCCTGGGAGAGACAAAAGCAGAATGGCTGTGATAATCCAATAACTGATCTGTAGTGGAGTTCAGCCTGGGCTGTAACCGGTAGTAGAAAAATACAATCTCAAGAGTCTAATTCTCTCATGTGCCAATAGTCTTCCATACTGATGCGTGCAAACACACACACACACACACACATCAAAGCTTTAAAATAGCCTTAAGCACTTCAGAACCTGTGACTCTTGCCAGATAGACCACACTCTCTGGGTAGTCCAGGAATTCAGACAAAAACATCAATCAAAGGACCCAGCTGTACTGGAATGTATTCAGCCACCACTCCCACTCTGAAAGTTTAAGTTTATTTTAGCTACTGTTTTCTACTCTGGGGTTTCATTGCCATTAGTCAGTAGAAATTGCTTGGTTATTCATGGAGTGGAAAATGATAGTATATGTAATTATAATTATAATTATATATATGTATATTTATTCGTACACACACACACAGAGGTACACAGTCTGACAGATGGACTGAATTTTCAGTCCTGCATGGGGAGGGCAGAAGTTCATAATTCTGTTAATGTAAGTGTCTCATGTCTAATTCTGTTCATACAAAATAGACCTATGCTTAGAATCAAGTATGTAAAAGGGGGCAATTGTTGCACCATGTTACTGGGTAAAGTTCAATAAGATGATTGTCTAGCCTCTGCAATACTGAAGTCGGCTTGAGGCTGCCTGGGGCAGCCTTGAGAATACTCTTGGTAGAAACTGGCACTGGGCCATTGACTGCAATAGATGTTGTGCCAGTTACACCAGCAATAAATTTAGCCCAGTCATTTTGTCTACTCTCATAATAAAAAAAGCTTTTTTAAGTACTTACTTTAAAAATTGAATGTGATGCTTTTTGATAACACTAGACTGATTTTCCAATGGTACTTAGCCATGAAAGTTCAGTCGCTAAATCTTTGTATCAAAGAAAGGCTCACCACATATGTGGTTTTTCAGCCGCATTTAATTATGCAGTTCCCTAAAGTCCTTGAGCAAAATCTGATGATTCTCTCTTGGTCTAGGTTCTGTCTTTGTAAATCAGAGGCGACACCATTCCTAATTCCTACCACCCAAGATTTAAGTGCATAGACTATTATGCAAATAAAGAGCTGGCAAGAGTTTAAAATAAAAATAGATCACTAAATATGGATTTCCCAAGAGACATAACATTGCATTTATTTTCTCTTCCCTTTCCTTCAACTCTCTGTAGATGAAGAACTTTTTTCAGGGATGTATATTGATTTCATGGGGACAGATGCTGCCATTTTCCGCAGCCTAACCAGACGCAATGCTGTGAGAACTGATCAACACAACTCAAAGTGGCTCAGCGGTAAGTTGGGTTTGTTTTACCAAAACTTTTAATCTATTTCACAGAAGCCCTGCTTTGTTTCACTTACTTAAAATAAATAGATTTTATTCACCCTTCTGAATTTAATTTATAAAGTGAGTCCATGAGGAAGAAATGTGTGCAAATACATATTGTACACAGTGCACTTCATGTGGTGTGTTGAAACAGAAGACTCACTGCCTCATGGGACACCCCATCTGGTGGAAAGTGCAGGAAAACCTTTCACAATACAAGTTGTCAGGCAGATTAACTTCTAGGGGAGTACTTTTTTCACCTTAAAAACCTAGGACATTGCTTTAAAATAGAATGTAGGATTCTAAGGTTTTTTACAATGAATTACAAACTTTAGTCAATTCAAATTAATCTACCTCTTATGGAGGAGTCCCACCCAACTGTACTCAAAATGTGTTTAGCAGAGAGTCTTATTATTAGTTAAGTGAGTAACAATTTTTGACATTTATTTCTATGATAAGAAATTGATTAGCAAACAAATTAGAAAGCCAGCTTCTGTGTACATAAACTTAACACTTGGCTTCACTGAAATCAATGTAGAAAAACTCCCTAACTTCACTGATGAGAAGATTCTATGATTCTGTGATTCCTTCCAGTTACACTACATTGAATGAAAATGATGGCGGACTCTCTTACTAAAGGCAGATGCCAAAGGATGGGAGTAAATAACGTAATAGTTCAGTTTATAAAAGTCTTCAAAGTATGTTGGTATAAACAAACTTTCTTCAAGTATCTCAAAAACATAATTTAAGTTCTTAAACATGAGTTACTTATTTTAGCTGTTTTTTAAGGTGACTTCTGTAAGTTCTGTACTCCAGTACAGACTCTAGTAATACCTGTGTATACCTGTAAATCCTGCTACCACAGGATTACAATTTATTTTTTCAGAATATATTGGATTCGTTATGAAGGGGAAACCGTATCTGTTTTCTAACTTGTTCTACTATTTTCTACTGTCTTATACACCTTGACATACCACAGTGTGAATCAGGGAAGAATACCATTAAAATATCTAATTACTGGATAATCTCTCTGATATACATGCTCAGAAGAGGTATTTGGCAGTTTATATCCATGTTCTTTTAGAGATAGGATCATGATACTTGATATAGTAACTGAGAATGGCCACATTAGAACACATAAATGCCACAGTCATAGACATGAATATTCCATCAGAGATCAAAGCTTTGAATTAGGTCATTTCAAGATTTGTACTAAATTTCAACCAATCAAGCAATCTTGCATAACCATTAAACAGGTCCTTCAGACAGAAGGAGGGCCCACCTCTTCCTTCAGACAAAGGGGAAGGTCTTCTGAGGTCTCCCTCGAATTTATAGTAGATTTTAGCATAAGAAATTGCCAAAAGCAAATGCAGGTAGCAACTACAATAGGGGTTGCCTAGTAAAAGATTACGTTGAAGTAATACACAGTCACTTGCGTATCAAGATGTACAGTTTAAAGGAGAATACTAGTAATAGTACTACTGTGTTTTCTAACCTTAGGTGTATATATGTCCTTCAAAAATTGCATGCATGCTATTCCATATTTTCATTATTTTTCTCTTTTAGTGCTCCCCTATAGTGCTTGGCATATATGCTTCACTGTTTAACATCCTCTGATATGAACTGAAGGAAACTTTGCTGTTCAAGATTGTAAATCCTCATTTCTTTTTAGTGTTCCAAGAGCTATTTTCCTCTGTTATTTATGTATTTTTAAAGTATCTTGTTTATTTTTTCTAGTGAGTCTTTCAGCTACTTATGTTTTCCCTTCAAGAATCTTTCCTAAAGTACCCTGATAACTCACTGATTTTTCTCCTTTCTTCCTCAAAGTCTTTTAAATCCTATAATGAACTCCTGCTTCTGCATTTGAATTACTTTTCTAAAAATCTGATCTGAGGATAAAATGAGATGCAGCAGAAATGCTTGAAACCATTGAAACAATTTACCTAGTGATGCGAGGCTAGAACTAAGCACAACCTGCCACAGCAAAGCATCTATATGCATTATATAGCAATTCCTTAAAGGGATCAGTAACTGTCAAAACATTAACTGCTTATACTGATACATCTTCTGGCATGTTTCATTTCAGAGCCTATTTTTGTGGATGCTCATGTTATCCCAGATGGCACTGACCCCAATGATGCCAAAGTCTACTTCTTCTTCAAAGAAAGACTCACAGACAACAGCGGCAGCACAAAGCAAATTCATTCAATGATTGCAAGAATATGCCCAGTAAGAAATGTTTTGTGTACCAGGTTGCTGTGACAAACAATTACTGCAATTTGATAAGCTAAATGACTCTTTCATGAAAATGATTGAAAAGCCTTTAACTTATATTAGAAACAAATTTATGTTTTCAGCTTCCACATTCATAATTAAGAAGATAAGTTATTTAATACACAGTTAAGGCCTCAGTTTGTTATTTAGTTTGTTACACTGATATGAAAATGTAGCAATTCAGGAAATTGTATATTTCTCTGATTGGCTCAGAATAGGTATAGCAGTGTTGAATTTCCAAACTTACTTTGTTTCGCATGAATCAGGTAGGGCTTTTGTGCAGAAACAAATACAATACAGAACAATAAAAAAGGCTAAAGCTTTCACCCCTGAACACACAGTATCTTTTTTTAATGGAAATATCAGAATCCAGCTTTTAAATGGGTTGATTTAGCTTTCAAACATTGCTTTAATTTTTACAATTTTTTTTTCCTTTCTCTGGTCTTGCACTGACATATGTATGAGCCTAACTCTAAGAATATAAATGCAGATATTAATCTCAGGAATTGTGATTGTGGTCACCACATCCCTCATTGTCTCTCTCCTTTTTGTATTTATAATTGAGTGTACATGAAAAATGATTGAAGCAGCTATTAATATCTCTTGTGTAATGCAGCACTTTTATTTTTTTATGAGAGCAAAATTGTAGAATGCACAATTACTGCTAGCCTTTTCATTCTTTCTTTTGGAAAGAGCAGGAAGATAATTGGCAGGGTCTGGGTGCTCCTGTTCTTTAATCTGTATTTTCTTTAGAACTAGATGTTTGGTGATGTTGCTGTGCAGTGCGTAAGGGCACGTATGGGATTGTATTAAGCTCCTTCTCTGGCAGCATGAGGAGGCATGTAATCTGTTTCATAATCCCCCTGTTTTTGTGAAGGTGCCTAAAGGCCCTTTTGGGTATTTTGCAAGACAACATTTCACAGTATTATATCTGTGTTATTATTGTTATTATTATAATAAGGCACAGATGATTTCTAAGAGGCTTCAGACTATGCAGACTTATACTGAAGTCTGACAAATTCCCAAAGCCACGAATACGAATCTGAACCAGACATACTTACATACTATCATATTTCGATATCAAAACCTTTGAGACAGACCAAATAGATTAATACAGTGGTGCTAAAAGAGACCCCCCAAAATGCCCATTGTGAGTGCCTCTAAAAGTCTCATTACTGGTTCCAGGAGCACCAATGGAACAACATGCAGCATTTTGGACCAATCACATTTATATAGTTTCCTTATTGTCCCTTTTCCCTTCATTTGGGTGACTTTGTGATATAGTGTTTCTGAGATGATGCTTTTATTTAAGTCCTTCATCAGCAAAATGAGTCAGGAGGTATCATCTCTGTGTGTACTGTCTGCTTTAGTAATTATTCTTTCTCCTTTGCACTGGAGTGATACGGAGAGCTCCTCGAGCGAGCAGGCAGCGTGCTCACAGAGGAGGTAGCACCAGGAGACAAGTCACATTAGCAATGTCTTCTTCAAAGACATGAAAGAAAAACAAGGGTTTCATGGGGAGGACTGTAAGGCAGTGACTGTTCTCAGTTCACTGCTGACTCTCATAATTCTCCATCCATAAAGTAAAATTAATCTGATTGTGCCTGTAGCCTATTGCTCAAAATCAAGTGTCATCCCAAGCCTGCTAGGCCAGCTTGGAAAATCTTCTCAGAAAATGAGTTTTTATTCTCAGCCAGGTCTACAGTGTTTCAATGAGGGGGGCTGATTTAGGCTATCTATTTTTTTTTGTATTTGATATTTTGTTAATGATGGTAAGCATTAACCCCAGAAAAATGTGGGAAAATCCAGTAAATTATTACCTATGTTGTATTTCTTTCTAATGAAAATAATATTCTTTTCCAGAATGACACAGGTGGTCAACGTAGTCTTGTAAACAAGTGGACAACATTCTTGAAAGCAAGACTTGTGTGTTCGGTAATGGATGAAGATGGAACAGAAACATACTTTGACGAATTAGGTATGGAAACAAAGTCTCTACAAAGTTTTACCTAAGTCCTCCACCCTGAACATATTTAAGCATTAAAATTCCCACAGTGATATTTGGACCTGTAGAGGTCCATGACAAATTTCCTTTTAAGTTTTGGGGCAGAAGACAAAAGATTTCTTCATACCTCTCTCTGAGTCATCAGCATTATATCTTTGAACTAAAAAAATAATAATGTTAACTTTTTAAAACATATGCATGTAAGGAATTAATATTTAGAAGGAAACATGTAAGTGCTGTAATTTTTATTTTTCTACTATCTAGAATTATGATAGAAGATTTTTTTTTATGTATATTTCTTTGAAACTGTTTATTATACTACTGCTTAACATACAGACTTTTTGCAATACGGTTCTTTTTGGAGGACTCTATCTGATAGCTTAGGCTAATACTACTGAATGCCATTACCAGCACTAGCAAAAATACAATGAATAAATATATTTTCTTGGGATTTATTCAAACACTTATACCGTCAGTTCAATATGTGAAACAATGCAGACATTCAGTTACTAGTCTATACAGCAATCAAAATAAGGTTTCTTCTCAGTAAGGAATGAATTAAATGCAGATCTTGATCCTTAAGTGCCAAAAACCACTATCACAAAGTTTCAAATTCTATATTGTCCATGGCTGTGATATACAAAGTCATAGTTCTAAATTTAGGTGTTGGAAAATTTGGTATGGGTATTGGTATCTATAAGTGTAAATATATACATACATAAATAGCTAATGAAGCCCACAGTGGGATTTCATCTGATTCCAAACTCTGCATTGTAATCCATCCCTCTCCTGTTACATTAATCCTGATCTTCATCAAAACAAATGGATTTCAGAGTCTTTCTGACTTGGTATCATTACAGATATTTGGTGTACTTTTTTTGATTCATAGATCTCTATGGAACATAATGGGGAAATAATCAGATCCTAATTTGATGTAATTAAGTGAATATAAGGTACTTTCCTAAAGAACTTTCAAAATTTCTTAGCAATCAGGAATTAATATTTCAGCGCTTTGATTTGCTGGTCTACTAGAAGCACTAGAACTCTTTTTTTTTGGATGATAAAATACAGGGTGATACAGAATACGATTCTGTTTTCAGTAAGAGCTCCTAGCACAATCTGTTGGCCAAGAGGAAGACTATATCCATAGTTGTAAATGCAGAAAAATCTGGGAGGGATGAAGGGGATGATTTTGTTTTTACCTGCAGTGCAGAATGGCACAACACTACCAGTGTTATACACTGAAGTCCTCAAGGTTTGACGTGTTTAAAAGAACATGCTAAGAATTTTCAGAGGTTTAATATACGACTCTCATAATGGAATGGATGACCTTTCCTATAGTAAGAAACTCAAACAGTTGAGTCTTTTTGTCTGATTTAAAGGACATTTAAGGGACGACCTGATTATGCTTTAAGTACCTTCTTAAGGAGAAAATATCAGAGACCAAAGAACATTTTTCACTTAAGTATTGGAAAAAATAAACAAATCAGAGCTAAAACTGGGTAAACTCAGTAAGTAGGCATGGTTTTGCATAGTGGGGTTAATAAATCCACACAAAATAGGAGCAGTGTTTTATATCTGTGTGTCTTTACTGGGAAACTACTTGTCATTCATATCCTGACCTTTTTCTTAGTCAAACATGAGATCGTGGAAGAGTAAGTACATGAAGATAAAACACCTAATTCTCCTGGTTTGGCTTATATCCAACTATGAGAACACTTTGTCTTTGACCTACTGCAATTTAAACATTTTCCTACTGTTAAACAACCTGCTGAAATGAAATCCAGCTGAGAGAAATGGGAGAAATGGATGCTAAACATATTTGAAAACCTTTGTCTTCTTTCTTCAGAAAGCTAATTCCAGTGCAGTTAATTCCAAAATCTGTTTACCAGTGTTCGAGTGCAGGATTTCTCCGTGTGGTCCAATCATATGATAAATTTGCTTTTTCTCATTCAAGTCAGAGACAAAACTACCATGGGCTTCAGTAGGAATAAAGTCATTATTTAGACTGGAAAATAAAATTACTGTAACTATTCAAAAACTGTTTTTTTTCTTTCTTTCTTACAGAGGATGTGTTTCTTTTAGAAATGGATAATCCCAGAACAACACTTGTGTATGGAATTTTTACGACATCAAGGTAGTTGTGGAGATTTGAAAAAAAAATACTTTTCAGACCTATCCAATTTTCTATATTTATATAGAAAGAGATGGTTTGTGGTCAAGACTGTTCTTCACAATTTTGTATGTCTCCTGTGACTAGCCTTTCCATGCAGAAGTAAGAGTTTCAATTCTGAACTTGCAGTGAACTTCTGTGGCATTAGAGATGCTGGATTAAAGAATCCAACACCCTGAAAACACAAACCTAAAATTCTTAAATGGATTCATACAGATCATTTCCACTTTCTCAGTTGGCAAATGATGGCACAGATGGCAGATAACCCCTGTCAGCTGCAGTTGGCTGAGAAAAGACAGTCTTCTGTTGTGTCTGATCACCTCCTTCATCCGTTACAACTCACAGCCTTAAATTTCTTGTCATCAGTCAGAAGTATTAGCTTTATGTCTGGATTAAGAAATGTACTTTGAGCTCCCAAGAGTAATGGAAGTACTAGATATGCCTTACTATGATGAATCCCTCAACCAAGATAGACCTGATGGACCTACAGTATCTGCCATCTCTTCCTTTTTTTTTTTTTCTCTTGTTCTCAGCATATACTGAAAACATATGGAATGAAAATGGATACTTCCTATTAGATATTCCAACCTGTACTATTTACCTTCAAAGAGAGCTTTTATTAATTTTTATTAATTTTTATTTCATGTCATTTATGTGATCAAAACTTATTTTAAGGCTTATTTCTATGAATTCCTTTTATGGCATTTTCCATTTAAAAAAAAAAAAAAGACATTTTTTAGCCTGACAGGCTTTTCTGTCCATGATAGTATACAGGAATCATCATTCTCAGATATGTGAACTAGCCAGGAAAGTATGATTTTATAACATTTAGTGGGGAAAAAAAAATCCCATAACTTGTAAACATCTGGTGCTGTCTATATTTTACGATTCCTATTGCACAAAAAGAAAAAATGCTGAGTCTATGTTTAGCAGTAAAACCACACTTATGATTAGGTTATGGATGCAACATGTCTCAGTTTGGAAACACTTTTACCTAATTCTCCTGGTATTCTCCTGCACTGGAAATAAAGGCTGAGTCAAAGGACCATATAAGGTGGCAACAAGGAGAAAACTTTTCATATTTCTGTATCTCAAGCCATTTTCTCTCTCTGCTGAAGCTTTAACATTCATGTGCATTTCTGGTTTCAAACCACGTGGTCTGTGATTTGTGTTTTCTCTTTCTTTTTTTCTTTATGACTGTAGATTGAAAGTGTTACATAATTAAATACAGCAGTCATAATGAATTTTACTCTCCAACAGTTTCTTTATTTTCACCTCTGAAGACCTACAGCTGAGAAAAGTATCAAGACAAACATCTTTCCAAATAATAATGATTAATAATTTTACCTAAACCTTATTGAGGTAAATGATGTAATACTGAGGCAAATTATTTTGGTGGCATGATCTACTGTAAATCTAGCAAGTAAAACATCCCAAATCATTAAATATATTTTTAAATCCTATTAAAAACTATTAAAATTTCCACAAATACCATAATCCACCTAAGAGTTTCCTCCTGCTAATACATATAGAGCCAAGAGTAATGTTGATTGTTGGGTAATTGCCAGTAGCACTGTCTTAACTTTCTCACTATATGTTATAAATGCAAATTTGAACATTTAGTATTTTCAATTTTCTTCTGTAGCGATTTTTTTTCTTCAAACAGTTAATACTAGATTTTCCACTTTTTTAAGATAAATATGCCAAGCCTCTTATACAGAGAAAGAAGAAAGGAAGATTTAATTTCACTCCAGATAGTCTTAGGATCACTTTGGGAATTATTCCGTTAGTGCTCTTCATCATTGGATGATGGAGACCTTTCAGGGCTTGTGTTGTCTGAGGAGGCATCAGAGATATTATCTGGGTGAATAAAGAGACAGTGGAAAAGCAAGCCCTCCTTGTAGATGACTCCTCATTTTCTCTTCAGAAGGCATCAACATTCACCTCTCCTGAAGGGATATCTTTGTGAAACCAGTTCTGGGGAAGGATTGCTAGACTATAAAGGAGTAATTCTTCTACAGCCACAACCTGTCCTCATTTTGTATAGAAAAGTTGGCAACTGGTTATAATACACTAACCAACCATAATTGTGCTGGAAGTTTTGATTAACATTCTAGCCATGTCTTTCAGAGAGCTTATGAAGGCCTTGTGGTTAATTTATTGGTGTGGAGTTCTGGAAACCTGTGCTAAGCTTGGAAGCATTAAGTTTATAAAACCCTTGTCTCACCAAAGTCAGCAATATTTTTGCCATTGATTTAACTTGGGCCAGATTGTGTTTCTTTTATATTCAACAGTAGGAATTTTTTTTTGTTCCATCAGTGGCATAGTAGCCTCCTCTTTTTTCAGGTCGATGTTTAAAAGGTGCTCAGCCTTAGAGACTTATGTTGCATATTGGGAAGCTAAATCAGCTGATTGTTTAATATGTTGAATCTATGCTATGGAAGCATTAGATTGTATTAAATATGTTATTTTGGGGGTGTTTCTCATCACAAAACTATGCATTATGATAGAAGAATTATGTGAAAGATATGAAAGTGCTAAATTTTACTTACTCTCTTCCAGTTCCATTTTCAAGGGCTCAGCCGTGTGTGTATATCATTTATCTGACATCCAGACTGTGTTCAACGGGCCGTTTGCACACAAGGAGGGCCCAAACCACCAGCTGATTCCATATCAGGGCAGAATTCCATATCCGCGACCTGGCACTGTAAGTACGGAAGATGTTTACGCAGGCCTGCCAATTACTTGTCTCTGTTTAATAAGTTAATAGATATTTATTCCAGGAGAATGGGATTGTATGTGACTACGACATTTAGTAGCAGTTCAGAACAGTTCTGTTTGCCTTTCAGCTTGCCATAAAATCACCTAGTATGTGGAAATTTTCTAGAAAGAACTGAAAACAGTGCAAAATACTGAACTCTCCTGTTCTCTCTGCCCAAGTAATAGTAATAATTACTTCATTAGATGGCAATAATGTTTTTAGAACATGCATTTCATGTCTATGTTTGAGCAAAAATAGATAAAGTGATTAAAATACAGAGACAGCACTGGAAGATTGTGCACTATAGACAAGATCCAAACTTCTATGTCTTCAGGGTGTTTTTTCCCCTAGTAATTAGTAGTAATTTAGTAGTTCCACCAGGACACTGGGGAACTGTGATAGAAGGACATAGTTTCTGAAACTGCCATTCAACTAGTCAGGTTGAGACTAGTCAAGACTATTAGAGAAGAGACATTGAAATAGAGGAGTTGTCATTACAATCTATTCATAGTAGCCTTTCTTAGTAAGGCTACTTTAGCATCTCTTAAAACTTTGTCAGTACTTTTCTTTCGCTGCAACATGGATTGATAATCATTCAATTGATTCTGAAAACCATGAGAGTTTCAAGGTTTTCAGAATTGTTCTAGGATAGCTTTTAAACAAAAACGTATTTGTTTCCCCCCACACACTCACACTTTAGGGCATATTCAAGTGCAGTGTTGATGTAGTTTTGTGGTTTTTTACTTACTTATTTGCCATGGTCTTAATTTAGATGTAGCAAAGCTATAAAGTCTAATATTTCTGGTTTTAGAGAAGGCTATATGAACTCTCTCTAGGGTCTTCTTTATTTCAGATTTCCTAAATGAAGTAGGTCAATGTGGGGACTTTCACTGTTCCCCGTAAAGTCTTCTTATAATTCCTTATGTATTGGAATTAGTAAATGTTCACAAAAATATAAATCAGCTCTCAACTATGTAGCTCTAATTTTATTTTTTATATGAATGCTTTGTTGCTTCATTCAGCAAGAAAAATACATTTTATTTTAATTTGCCAGACATTGCTGTTAAGAACCTTTAAGCACAACACTTTTATTCATTTTCTTCTTTACACTGTAGATTTTGTCCTTCTCTTTCTTTCTCTCTTTCTTGTACACTAATGCTTAGATGGATGTAATAGCTCTGCCTGTTTACACAGTTTCTCACAACATTTTAATCCATTTTTTACTAGCTACAAGATTTTGAACTTCATGTCCCCAAGTCTCTAAATTTAATCAGGACTAACATTCTGTCAAGTTTTAATGCTACCACCTTTTTTGCCATACAGCTCTAATCTCATGAGTTCACTGAGACTTTAAATTTAAACTTTACAAGAATACAAAGCAAATGGTCCCTTTAAACAGGAAGTTTCACGATCTTGTGATTAGTCACATTTCAGTTTCTTGCTACTTCAGAATGTTGTATTTGTATATATTTTCTGAATCACTGGCATGTTATTCTTGGTTCATCTCACAGAGACTTATAAGGCCCTGAAGGGGCTTGGAGGAACTGGGCAGCAAAATGAAAAGGGAAAAAGAAAATTCAACTATGGACTTAACACATGTAAGATGAGGATATGTGTGTTTAGGTGCTTATAGGATGTGTTCAAAGGCTTAACTTTGAATATCAAGCTTGAAGACTATAGAAGGAGAGCTTGTTTCTTATGGGACTTATATTCTGGGATGCTGGACTGAACAGGGATGCATTTTTATATAACATGGAAAATCCTACTTTAGAGTTATCTAAAAAGATAATCATACTAACCATTGGACAGAAGTGAATGTACGTTGAATAAATACTGAAAAGACTTCAGTGTAGTTTGAGTGGAATAAAATAAAGCAATATGTTCCTTTGGCCATAATCAACCCTGGAGTGTTTGGCTGCCCTTCACTAAATACCAATGGTTTCTTATTTCTCCACAAGCTAAACTGACTATGGAAAAAAACACTACATAATTGGCAGGTTCCTCCTAAGTTCAGTGATGTTTGAGGATATTTTCCATTTTTCAGAGTTTGCAAAAATAGTTTTTGTACCTATAGCATATTGGAGAATATACTGTAAATTAAATGATTCTGTTTCCCTGGTTTGTATTGGTTTATATTAGAGCTATTATGCAGGACATAACAAATGAATGAAGAGGAATGAAAAGGAAGTTTCCAAGGACTTGCTCAAAACAACGATGCACATTTGGTTGTACACAGGCAGAAGTCTTAGGATCTCCTGATCAAGAATCATGGGAGGATAGTTGGTATCAGAGAAAGTCTTCTTTCAGCTGAACTGTTGGAACAAGGAAGTTAATGTGGACTGAAAGTGAAATAGGAACCGCTCCAGACCTGGAAGTGGAGTGCAAACAGACCACTGTCAAAAAGAATATTCTCACTAGTAGCCCTCATAATTATGAATACAGTTCTCTTCTGACCACTGGTTCCTATCTGAGCAGATAGCTCCACATATTGTCTAGAAGACTGGGGATGAAAGGTGCAGAGAGGCAAAGGCGTAGAGCAAACGAGATAAGAAGAATTCAGTTTTGTGCGCAGTCATAGGAGGGTTAGCATTTGGTGTCATTCCTGATAAGAGTTAAACCAAAACTCTGAGGAAAAATGAGAGTTCAGAGGAATCAATTGTCAAGGACCTCATCTGGGAAAAGAGACTCATATTTGAGTGGAGTCCTGGTTCTTCCTGATGAAGGTAACTGATGGCAGAGCAGTCTCTTTAAAACAATTCCTACTAGAGCAGTTCCACTTTGTATAAATATTTAAATACTAATTGACCCAGAAGTTGCTCCTAAAGCCCAGGGTGAGGCTGAAGTCCCCTCTCTACTTGGTTCCCCATATTGCTGAATGAATAGTTAATTAGGTGTACGAAATGGAACAGCTTTTAGCAGTGAGGGTAAAACTGACACTCCTGACTAGCGGTTAGAGGGCTCCCATGGGATGTGAAGACCCAGTTTCTAATGTTTGTTCAAGTCAGGTAGGTTGGACACATGACTCATATCTCCCCAGTGAATTTCCCAGTCTGTCAGAGTATGATTCATTTTATGTAATTTCAGTCATCTAAAAGCCATCTAGTCTGAATTACTGACTACAGAGGAAACCTAGATGGCTAACTAAGAATAAATGCCTGACTTTGAGACAGCAGAAGTCAGGTGAGGTGAATCTCTGCCTAAACTACTAGCTATTTCTGTGTCTGTGGTTTTGACCAGAAATTCCTTCCTAGACTTCAGAATTGTCCTCACTGAAATAAACACATTTCTATGAAATATTTCAGATAAAACAAATCAGCATTTTCCATCTGGAAAAAAATATATTTTTTGAAACACTTCTGTATAACTCATTTATAGAAAAGGTTCATGGCTCAGAAATCTAAGGAGGAAAATGCGAGTTCAGGAGCATCGATGGTAAGTAGGGTAGCAGTGGCTGAAGAAGTCATGTAAATTAGCATCAATGAGTCCTGAACAGTGGAGCGATTAGTGACATTGCTCTTGATTTCTTTTCACTCTACTTATTTTGGTTTCACTCTCACTTGCTACCTGAGGTTTCTGAGATCGATTTTATTTCTGTGTGAATCCAGGAGGTCTCAGGGATGGTAACAGAGATTTTTCTTTATTACATTTAAAAAACATCTAGAGTAATCACAGACCTCTATTACTCCTCACTGCATACACAGGAAAAAGATAGATAAGATCTATCTTTGAATGATTTGATTTCATAGATATAAGGGAGTCATCCAAGCCTTTAATTTGGCTTTTTTTCTGTAGAAGTCACAGTCTCCTTCTCTGTCTCATAATCAAAATAATGGGGGAAATAAGGAAGCTAAAACATGGGATGTCCTTGAAATCTTTTCAGACTACAGGCATATTGACAAAATTACAATTAGACTTTTACCTTTTGGACTTGTACTAATTCTATACCAACCTTCTGCAAAAGTTCGATATCTTCCCATACCATTCACTCGGGTTTTTTTTTTTTTTCCCAATGGGCAGCATATGGAAGCATAAAGAATGTGGAAATAGATTTGGATACATGGATCTTTGCCATCAACCTGGATTTTAATAGGGCAAAAATATGTTTGCGTTTACTCTATCTGAATTGATGGGAGTTCAAAGCATAGCTGTTCAAGTACTTCATTTCCATTATTGGAATATAATTATTTTCAGACAGCATCTGAAGTGCTCTTTTGGGAACTTTGTCAACTATCAGTCAAAATCTGTACACAGCTTGGAAATGAAAAGTCTCCAATAAATGGAAATTATTATTAAGCATTACTGTGCGTGTTTCTTACAGTGTCCGGGAGGAGCCTTCACACCCAATATGCGGACAACCAAAGAGTTTCCAGACGATGTTGTGACCTTCATCAGGAATCACCCTTTGATGTTTAATCCCATTTACCCAATCCACAAGAGGCCATTAATCATTCGGATAGGAACAGACTACAAGTATACAAAGATTGCTGTGGACCGTGTGAATGCCGCTGATGGAAGATATCATGTCTTGTTTCTTGGAACAGGTAAGACAAACTTAGCAAAAGTCATTTTCCTATACTGCATTATAATTTGCAATCAACTCCAATCTGTATAATTCATTGCCTTCAAAAGTATTTGTGCAAGCATATCTGATCAAAATGTTACAAAGGCAGAAACAATAACTTCACAAAAAAAAAGTAAAATATGGAAGTATTTATCAGAAGAAAAATAAACAAATAGTTGAAGTCCCAGCAGCAGTGGATGTACAAGATTTGATCCAAGTGTTCTAAAATAATTTCTTTCTAATATAGCCTACATTTTGTTTGTAGTTACATCAAATTTGAATCTAGTGTTATGCTTCTGAAGTCTGAAAGGAACAGGTCAAGTGATTCTCATATTGGTCAAATTTAATTTTTCAAAATATACCAGTATAAATCACATTTTCCTGACTAAAGCAGACAAGCAAAGTAATACTATGACTAGACCCTAAGATTCATTCACATCTGTGCCACGTGCTCTAGGTGACCCTGTGTGTGCAGGGGGTTTGGACTTGATGACTTCTACAGGTGCCTTCCAACCTTAAGCATTCTGTGATTCTGTGATTCTATGATAACATCCCAAAGCTCATAGGAAAACAGAAACATGTTCCTGCATCTGTGTCCAACCTTTACTAGATCTCCATTTACTGTATCGTAAGTCCTAATGCACAATAAAATGTGATTATGATAAAAGAAGCTCTAGGTTTTCCTGTATTTTGCCGTATAGTTTCCCATGCTGTAACAAGTCTTTCAGATGAAATTTTAAGGATTTTATATCTATCTATCTATCTATATACTGGTGCCATTGTTTTAAAATGCTATATAAGCATCTGATGTTAATGGGAGGAAAGTTCTACTAAAGATTAGTGGAAAGGATAAGACATATATGTTTCCAACCATTATAAGATTTTTAGTATAGTAATGACAATTAATACTGGAAATAAGAAACACTCAAGAAAAAGTACAGTCATAGTCAGCATTTCATTAATTTTTCCAGCTAAAACGTGCAGAATATTTTCAAAAATTAAATCCAGCATGTGATGAAGCTACGTGGAGAAATACATATTTTAAATACCATATTCCAGATAAATATCTGCCAAAACCAAGCATATTGGATAAAATTCAAGTTAACTCTTTATTATTGATTGATAGTTAGTTGATAAACTGCCTTTCATAAAACCCTACTGCAAGAGATAAATACAGACCATTTAATTTTATAGTTTAATTAGCCTCTGACTGTGGCTAAGTGACTAGCATAGTCTCATATATTATCCCAGTGGTTCATTAAAGGCATTAACACATCTCAGCTTGTGCCTATGTCTTGCTAATCCTCTTCTGTGCATCAACATAAGATTAATTATGGGACAAATAGGTAAATTACAGCTCCTGGCACTTTACAATATTTGTTGCTTTTAACTTCTGGCTTATCCTGGATGCACTGATCTCACTGCTTGCTTGCATGTTAGCTGGGCACAGAGAGCTCCCTGAGACACTAAAAGCTTCTAGGTTCTTCAGAATAAATCAATGCAATGAAAGTTACTTCTTTTCCCAGCCCTTTTAAGTAAAAGTGATCAAGTTTCAAACACTGAGAAAATAAACTTGTTTCCTTTATTCTGTGTTCTGCATGAGACTCCAGAGGATTTGAAAGATAGTAGCTGACAGAGGGGCGGTGGAAGGGATTCGCTTTGGTGTCAGTTCACCCTGGAAAATCCTAGAGTGTGCAGGAGAATTTCATGTGATAATTTCCCCGGGAGCTGGACACCCTACAGACAAGGGCACTTGGCACCTGGTGACAGTTGCGCACGGTTCTACTGATGAGTTACTGCTGCCGAACTGAGATGTTGCCAGCCGTGTCTGTCACTGTCAGTGACCTGTCTCATGCTTGAAATCACAGTGTTTTATATCTTGCCAGATGCAGAGCACACAAAATGCCTAACTTTTCCTGTCATCCTCCTCTATAGCCTCAGCAATAAATCAGTTCCTGAATGCAAGGGAAGAACACCAGGAGTGGAAAGCTCTGAGAACCCCAGTGGCCATGGCATAAGCGGGCATAGGCAGCTGTGCTGTTTTTTCACATTAATGTGAACTAAATGTAGTGTTCCCTTTACACGTCCAGACAAAAGTGCTGCACCCACAGGGGCTGATCAATGGCAACAGTTAATACATTTGCTTTTTCCCCCCTTCTCTCTGGGCTACATAGCTAAGGAAATAAATCCCACAGACAGACATTGTTCCTGAGCATTCCACACCGCCATTCAGATGATAACGATCTCTGGTTTTCTCTGTGCTTATCAACCTGAAGATTCCCAAAGCACTTGACAAAGCTTGCTAGTTTTGTTAAGTCTATCCAAAGTCCACCTCAAAAGGAATCTGCTTGCCTCTCTTTGAAATGGAGCGATTCAAACGAGAAAAGCAGTGATTCTTTAACTGTAGATAGCTATAGAATGCTATATACTTTACCCTCCCAAATAGAAACCAGAGAGATAATTTATTTGGATGCAAGTCACTGACTCATTTCCATATCTGATCTGGATAAAACTGATGATACCTTTTCCCTTTACAGTAAGAACATACTTGGTTCAGGAATTTGAGCTTAGAGTTTTGCTTCACTTATGTCATTTCTGTGGTAGGCCACAATTTAATCATAAAGCACTTCTTTTTATCCATCCTGGGATTTCACTGTAGTCACTTTACTCAGCTCAGTTGTACCTAAAGAAATCAACCTTACAACTTCTCTCTCTTTTTTTTTTTTTCCCCAAATATATCCATTAGTTTTAAAATTTTTCAGTTGGGTTTTAAGAGCAGCAGTAAAGCAACATGAGGACATTATCCTGAGATTAATATTTATTTCTTAAGCATGCCACTTCCTGCTTGTAGTACGAAAGCCTTTGGTCAGAGTACAGCCAGATTGCACAATCATGACACTGAGCTTCTTTTTCTTTAATGGCTCGTAGTGTTATGAAAATATTTAAATATCTGGGTCAAACTTGGGTGCATTCAGCAGCCTTTAGCACCAGTAATTTTTTTTTATTCAATTCCTAGACATCAAGATAAGAGACATAGCTCTTTGTAAAGAGATCTAAATTACTGCTGTGAAAGGACACTTAGATTTCAATGCGGTTTACTCAGATGATTAATGTGGACCACATGCATCTGATGTTGCATTAGGTTGATTTATGTTTCTTATTATCTTTCCTTCTGTGGTGCAGTCCTCAATTTGAAAGTCTGGATGCAGCAAGTGCTTTCAGAGCATAAGGATGTAATATTGTGTCACATATGTGACTAACTCCTGAGAATATTCATTTTGTGCTGTCACATGATGTCTGTCCTTTTGGAAGACTAACCCTTGCTGACATTGGTAGTCTCCAGTAATGGAATACTCAAAATCATCTGATGAGCTACCAATTCTAAAAGAGATGGGTAATCTGGTTGGAAGAGCCAGCTTGCCTCCCACAAATAAGCTATCCACAGCTATGGGTCTGCAAGCTTGGGAAACTGGGGTTGCACAACGGTGACAATGGGCAGCATGCGGAGCTTCCTCCATCCTTTTGCGCATAGTTGATGAATCATTCAGAAGTTTCTGGTGCTAACTCATCCAAAACTTCACAGACATTTAGAAAGACTTCTAAAGAGGGCTTTTCTACACCTTTTTCGTTCCTCAAAAACTATTCAGTTTTTATTCAGACTGATGATCAGTGCGTCCCTGGACTTTGACTGAGCAGGGACTGCATGAAAGCTTTGCCCTCAAGCATTAGCTTATTAAATATTTGTACCTGCAGTTTTGCTCTTTGACATAGCTTGAAATGCTTGTATGCACAAGGTTTCGCAGCAACACTACGATCTGGGAAAAAATACACCCATTTTACAGACAAATAACCTAAAGCACAGGGAAGAAAAGTGGCTGTGATGGGGGTCCATGAGCAGCCATACAAGGACAGCAGGACCTGAGGAGCCAGCTCACAGCCCTGGCTACTAACTTGCCAAAATCACAGGTGCTTTGATGCGTCTGAGAAGTTTATAAGTTAAAGCAAATTCAAGCATTCTGAAAACTTTTTTTCTTTTCCATTTTTTTCTTCATTATTTTATGTTTTCATCAAGCTCAAGTCATATTAATGACCAAAAATATGCTGTTATCAGGTAAAAGGAGTCTCTAAAAGTTTTCTAAAGGTTCATAAAGCATTTCTAAGGGAAACCTGCTTGACATATTGGTAAAGGGAACTACCGTGGGAGGTCTCTTTACCAAACTCCCAGCAGAGCAACAGCCAGTGTCCATTGCAGGCATGATATTTAAGATACAGAAAAGAATTTTTTGTTTGTTTTTTAATTTGTTTGTTGATTTTGTGCATGTGATGTGGCTCAGGGATGGAGGGTAGCCCTCTCTGAAGCTGACAGTACCAACAATTACCATCTTCGCTTTGAACTGGGCCAAGAAAATTAGTAGGGATTCAGAGAACACGACTTAAACTCGGACCACTGTATTGCAGCACAGCACTTCGTATATTCTCTTGCTATTTCCCTGAAATTTAACTTTTCCATTATCCATGGCCAGCTGCTCCAAGACTTGATCTGAGTAAGACTGAACAGGTGTCAAGGTGTCAGGAAGTGTGTCAAGGTGTCAAGGAAGCTAAGCTAATTCATACTAGCACACAATCTTGCCCTGTGTTTTAAGGGTTTTTGTTCCAGTTTTGTCTCTCCTCCTCCCCTCCCCAGACACTGCTTTCCTTTGCCATTTATTTTCCACTCTATGTACCCTGAACTCCACTTTCCAGCCTGCTGGATGTGTGCTCTTTATGCCCTTGCCATTCCCCCTTCCCCAGTGTTCATGGGGAGATGTGATCGCAATCACATTCCAACTCCCGGTAAGCTGGGAGACCGCAGGTTCAAGCAGGCTTGAAACGCAAAAACAGTCATTATTAGTCGCCCTTGTCACCCTGCTGTCAGCTTGAGGGAGATTCTCTTCCATTTGTCATCCCCCTGTCAGCTCGCAGACTTGCTGGAGTGAAGCTGGGCTGCAGACAAGCCCAGGTGAAAAGTCAGGGAAATGGTGAGCATAAATCTGCCTCCTTGCTTGGTACATTCCAGTGTTGGCTTGTTATTCCACAGACTCAGTGGCTTTTTCATGACTATGTGAAATCATACCAATGTAAAACTGTTTTCAGATGAATTTCTGGAAGTCATAAGTAAACAGGGAAATGGACTTTTATGACTTGAGCAGGATTATCTTATAATTTTACATTTTGACCTCAACGTGAAAAAATTTGACTGATATTTGTTCAGTGATCCATTATGTCTGGCTCACGGCACAAAAGATTATCTATTGTGAAATATGCTAGGAAACATCTCGAGCACTGCACTTTTGCATATATCTCCTGTGTGCGTTACTTGCCAACCTTCCTTTTGACCTAGGATTTGTCTGCTGCCTTGCCATTAAAGGAAATAAGCAAACAAGATTTTCAGCAAAACTCAGATGTCCTGTAAGTCTCTGACATGAGCACATAAAAGTAACTTGATTTCACAGCTACTGTGCTTATAATGGAGACTACTGAGAAAAAGGAGTAGGAAGCATTTTTTAAGCACAAATATTTGTGCTTCATCATCAATGAAATGATTGAGTAACAGTTGTAAAACTGTTTTCAAATGGGCTGGAGGGCTATAGCTTACAAGGCAGACATTATTGGAAATATGCAATATATATTTATATGTAGACTAATGGAATTCCTTAAGTGATTTTATTTAATGGATAGCTTTCTACTACCTACTTTCTCTAACATGAGCATTTACTTAAAATGTTATATTAAGTTTTCTAATTCTTTTGAAACAATGGAATATTCCTTTTTTCACAAGAATCTCTCCCTAATGGTAAAATACTTAGCTGAAGGGAATGTTAAAATATTGAGTCAAAGGGGAATAGATTTCAAAGTAAACAGTCATTAACTCTGTGTATTTTGCCAGGGTGTGACAAAAAAGGTAGATAGGAACCCAGTCTGCAAATGGAAAAGGTTATTAGGACACAAGGACTTGGCCTCAGACACAATCAGTATTTTCTGTGCCATTGCCCAGGCTATAATCTTACCTCAGGTTCTGTTTTCATTTGACCACTGAAGATGATACAGGAACCTTAAGTGAGTATCATGCACTAATAGACTATTAGAACTATGAAAGAAAGAAACTAGTTTTTCTGAGGCTCAGCCTCACTCTCCATTGCAGGTATGGTAACCATGCTTGAGCCCTGTGAGTTAGGGTCACAGGAAGCTGACACTTTGCAGGGAGCTGAAAAAAATCACAGCAGGTTGCAGCTTCTTCAGATGGCATGGTTTAATGGTAAGGAGTCAAAGGGCCCTGATAAAAGGAGGCAAGGAAGGAAAAGTAATTTGGAGTTAGACTGTAAAATCTGGGGGTAGATGGTTGCTTTTAGCAGAGGCAGAACGATACACACACAGGCACACACTTCTCCTAAGCTCCAAATATGGAAGGCTCTGCAGCAGTTTAAAGCTTCAGTAGGTCCTGGCACTCAGTAAATCTCTTTCAAGTTCTTGTAGGTTTGCTAATACTGGCACCCAGTCTAGACCGCAGCTGTGTTATCACAGGATTTAGTTTCAGTAAAATTTCTTCGGAAGGAACTAGTTTATCGTGCCATCGTATAATAAGAATAAATGTTCTCCATAGCACAAATTCTCATGAAAAATTCATGCCTAATGTGCTCAGAACATGTACAATTGATAGCTACACGTTCTTAAATCTTGACAGCTTTCAATTTCTCTTTTCCTTTTCCTTTTTTTTTTTTTAAACAGCAAACTACTGCAATGAACTCTGTCTGTGTGGTCAGGTCATTATATATGAATATTCTGTCTGTAATCCTTAATTCCGTTTTAAAGTAAATGTATGATTATTTGCTACCTTCCACCAGGGAAATAAGATGTAAAATATTTACTATAACCAACCTGCCCTGCAGCTCCAGCTATGGAATTTAGTCTCTGGCCTTAAAAGTAAAAACAAAACCACACTTTCAGTTTACTTTGTCAACGTTGTGAATTGCCAAATGGGAAACTGAGATTTCCTTTCCTCAGTCACAAATTCATAAAAATACACATAGCTGCTTACATGTATTTTGCCATACTAATGTTTTACTAACCGCACAACTCTATGTTTCATAAAACCTATGAAGACAAAATAGAATCTATACCATGTGGTCTCATTCCTCAGGCTTAGTACTGAACAAATAGATTTATTCTGCTCAGACTAATTCAAGTCCTTTCAGATAAGAAGTCTTTGTGTTTTTCTTTTTTCAAAATAAAGAGATGCAAAAATTATCAAATAAAATTACTTTCTTTGTTTAGTATTTTAATACCTCATCCCTGTCCCTGTGATTTTTCACAGCCTGCCTTTTCTGTCACATGAGTAATATTTCAAAGTGTTGCAGCCTTTGAATGCTTTTACAAATTGACTCCTGTATCTCCTATGTTCTTTTCACATGACAAGATTGGCAAACTAATCACAAATATCTCCTTAGAGACTAGTCAGCACATCTTCCCTGCAAAAACACTGCCGTTTCCCCACTTGTCCTACTTCAGTGCCACTTTCAAATTGAGTTGATTGGGGGGTCAAAACACAGGGCAACCATAAAGAAGCAGCTATAGAGTCTTCACCATGTCTTTCCTGTTTTCCCCATAGACCAAAACAATAACTCCTACTGCTACATAAAGGATTTATTGTTCAAGTTTTCTGAAGAAAAAGTCTTTCTCCTTACTTTCTTGGGTTACACTGAGTTATTCATTAGAATATTTACCTTTCATGTCACCAGTTGTCATATGTGATTAATGAATATGAATGTATATTAAATTCTGCAGTAGCTCATTTTTGGCCATTTGTCAGGACATGTTTTTACTTTAGGATGTTTAGGGTAGATACTGCCTCCCTCTCTGTTACTGTACAGCACCAGATGCGGTTTTTGATTGGACTTTTGGGGTAGACTGGTAACCATAATGGCCATAACTCTTGACTTCCTCAAGATGGTATGTGAGAATGATACTTGTTATAATTATGATCAAGATATCCGCAGTTTATGACTTTCAAAGGATCATCTTCTGGTTCTTTCTGGCCTCAAGCCCTAGAAATTTATGAACATATTTCGTATCATTCTGTATCTTACTGTATTTGCTTTGTTGCTTTTTTGTTTTGTTTTTTTTCATAGTTGCTGGCACATATTTTCATTTTTTCTCTCTCATCTTTTACAGACCAAGGAACTGTTCAAAAAGTTGTTGTCCTACCCACTAACTTCTCTGCAAGTGGAGAACTCATTTTAGAAGAGCTGGAGGTTTTTCAGGTTTGACTTGCTCTTGCTTTTATTCTTCCAATGTGTATGTTCATACAAATGTCTTGTTCTGAAAGACTTTGGCAAGCGCAACTATGACTTGATAGAAGATCAAGTGAATGCACATATTGGCAGCTTGATACCCTTTCAAAGAGGAATACAAAAATGTCTACTGTTGTGAAAACCATAGCTAGGCTAAGATCTATTTTTTTTTCATGTATTTTTTTTAGTATTATTATCCTGTCTAGAAGGATTTTGATAATCCCATTTTTAAGAGGTCAGGTTATAGTGGCTCTAGAAAGAACCTTTTATCACTGGCATCACATAGTGAGACTGTCACTATTTGCAGATGGAATCTAAGGTTTTTCTACTACTTTTGATTATCTGATAATCTTTCTGATTCTGGGCTGCAGAACTGAACTAGCGTTTTTTCTTAACTCCATTTCTTCAAAGTCACCAAAAAAAGCTACAAGCTCAACACAACATAAGCTGAAAAGAAACATAAATACAGGGAAAAATAACAAAATAGCCTTCATCCGTCCTTCTAGGATGTCGCAGCTTAATAACTTAAAGGAAATGTTCACCTTCCTGTTAAAAAAAGCCCTTACAAATTTTTGAATGGGCTATTCTTTAACAGGCAGTATGAGGGCGAGTGGTAGTATGCATCTGTAAGTTTAGTTATGGATTTTGTTGTGGGCTTTTCTTTGTCTTTTTCATTCCTCAGATAGATTCAAAAAAAAAAAAAGAGTTTATACCTTGTTATCTATACAGGCAGCAAAACCCATCTCTCTGAACACTCTCGGTGTTAACCCTTACAGAGGCATTACTACTCCACCTAGATCTGTGTTGAAGACTTCTCTTAAAAAAATAAAGTTATGTGAGCAATATTACATAAAGGATTCAGCCAAGAAATACCAATTCCATTTACAGAAACATAAACTAACACAGCAGATAGATGGGTTGGATGGGAGGAATCCTGACTCTAAACCTAGAGGGTTCCAGCACCTCTGTACAGAGACATTTT